CACGCCTTCCTCATCACACCTCGTGCAGCAAACCCATGTCCCAATCAGGAGGTACCGGGCAGCCTTGGCGTCCGGCCCGCCTCTGCCGCCGCCACCGGCTTAGCAGGGTTTAAGTTTATTTCTTCACAGGGAGAAAGAGAGTCTCCATGCCTTGATCAGTCAGCCAAAACCATGAGCATGACTTTCAGGCATGAGCCCATGACCATCCCATGAGGGTGGGATTGCAGAGCGTTGTGTTACTGCTGCACCACTGGCTGACTCCTCAAAAAAGCTATTTTCTTGAAGTTCTAAATCACATTCAATGAAAAGAGTATCTTATCCAATAATATTTTAATTGAATTTGACCTTGAACTTGATGAGAAATTTAAAAACTGAAATAATGTTAGCTCTCTGATTAAGGAATTCTATAAAATGGTGCCTTGTTAGGAGCCCTACTATAGACAAATGCTGCCAGAGAATAGCAATTAAGTTCTTTTAGAGAAACAGGGTAGCCCGATCAACCCCTGGACAAATCTCATGGGCCCAGGACTTCCCCCGTTTCTGTTACTATCACAATTGACCAAAAGGACCAGCATGAGAACCCTGTTGTTTGAGCAGTTGAGTGAACACAATATGGGTGGTGAGGACTGTGGAAAGAAGACCAGGAGAAGCAGCAGTGGGCAGGTCCTTTAAGACTTCACTCCACAGATGATGCTGAAGTATCGGTATTTAGTATGTTTTATAATTGCAACTTAAAGCCACTGGATGCCTGGGATCAGAAGATGGAGTAATGGTAACATTGCTGGACTCCCAGGTAGTCGACCATGGTTCGAGTCCTGGACCTGGTAACTGGAAACTCATACTGGGAGTGTGCATGCATGCCCCAAATCCGGAGAGAATGGAGAAGGGATTGCAGCATACCCATCCCTCCTGAGGAGTGATTTCTTCCTTTTTGTCTCTCTGGAAAGCACACATACCCTTTAGCAAAAAAATCTTTCACTCTAGGAAAAAAAAAAATGTCATTAGGTGTCTGAAGTAGAGCAACAATTGTGTGATAAGGTGGATCATGGAACAATGCATGTCAGAATTTCTGTCAACCATGGCTTCTTCATTGGAAAATAAGATTAAAAATATGTACTTGCCTACATACGAGGTTGTGAAGATTAAATGAGAGAATGTATGTTAAAGAATTTTGAAAACTGGAAAACACATGCAAAGATCAAGTGTTGATATTATTGTAACTTAAATGTCAGCATGTCAGGCAAGACTCTCACTAAAGACTTTCGGTAGTCCCTTTTACAAGGAGGTGATGAGAAATTCTGAATACCTTTATTTCTTCATTCCTCAAACCAGTAATACTTGCTGTGGCTTCCTTGACAACATCTTCAAAATCCCGTATTGAGAAAGTCGCTTTAGCATCAGGATTGCTACCACCCGATGTTCCCCACACTGCCAAGCCGTGGAGTCTGTCTCACACCATGCAAGGAGAGCTCTACTTTTCCTGACTCTGCTTCCCATCCCCTTCCTGGCACCCCCTCCCCCCCACACACACACCCAGTCTCTGTTTTCATGGAAAAACAACTCCCTCATAACTGGGTTTGGATAAGAGTCCACGAGGTTGCTTAAGAAGCATGTTTGCTAAAAATGTTTCTCCTAAAGATAAATAATATTTCTGAAACAGAAAGTCTGGTTAAAATAATTTTCAAAGTATTTCATGTTTGACATTTGAAAGTAATTTTTCAGCCATGGCAGTTCAAAAAGAACACAAAAATAAAGGACAGTGTTGCATGGTGGTTAAGGCAGCTGGATCCTGCATGACTGACTGCTGGGTTCGAGTCCCAGACCTGGTGACTTGGGGGACATGTGGGGTATGTGTGTGCATGCCTTGGTGCCCAAAATCCCAAAGAGAGGGAAAAATGGAAGTGGTCGTAGCATGACCGTGGCCCCTTGAGGTACATCCTCATCTCTTGTCTCTTTTGAGTGAACACAGGAAACACACACACCACACACACACACACACACACACACACACACACACTTTGTTTACTCCCAGGAGGAGACTGGAGAAGGGATTGCAGCATGGCCATTCCCCTTGGGGAAATGATTTTTCACTTTCCCTCTCACTGTCTCTGTCCCCTCACCCCACCCCAACCCCTGCACTCACCCCAAGGCAAAAACCTCTCAAAAAAAGATAACAAAGAACATTTTGTTTTTTATTTAAATGACAAGATGCCAGTTGTTTTTGTCAAGGAGGGTGCCAGCAAGGTCTGATAAGTACCTAACTTGTCAGAGATAAGGTTACTGCAAGGAACCCAGGATGGGGAAATCTTCACCATGTGCTCTCTGTACTCTGGAGCAGGAAGCAGTGAGGTAAAGGGTCAAAGGAAAGACTTCATTTGTGTGAGAAGGAGAGAAAAATTGGCCCAGGGAAAAGTTTAGCAAACATGAGGTATGTGCGAGAAAGATTCTGATCAAGACAGAAGACTATGGCCTTCCCATAGCCACAGTAACCAAGCAGAATATGACACACTTACTCAGAAATGAACAGTTGAGAAGAGTCACAGATTAATCTGGGCCCACTTATAATCCATTCTATTACAGCTTCTAAAATGACAGCTTCTATTGCGTAAATCTTTCTGCAGCTCTGTTCAAATCCCAAAGGACATTTCTTACTTTAGAAGAGAAAGAGAACTGGCACTAAAGAAAACATTACAGGTGAGTAATCAATAAAGCAATAAATTTCAATTTTGCTAATTTGCTGGAAACTTTTAGCAGGAAAAGCTTACTCCTACAAACTATAGTTGCTGTGTAGACAGTGGTCAAGGGAACAAAACAGTCCAATGTCAGCACACTGGTGGGTCAGAGCAGGCCCTATTTTCTTGGAGATATCTGATTTTGCAATATTTGAAGTCTTATAGTCTCTTAATTTGGGATGTTAAAACTAGCTGTTTGTGTTCAGGTGGCTGAGCCGAAGCCCCTTGCTGTTCAGGCAGATGTCATGCAGAGGGAGCTAGAGAGCTGCCTACGAAGAGAGTACACGCCTGAAAATCTACCTTTGCTTCTGTTGCAGGTAAGAATCATTTTACAATTTGAAAAGCAAATCTGGAATTTAGTAGAAAACTGGCTTTATGGCATATCCTCTGGCCAGGAAAGGACTATTTTGCAGAACTTGGTTAGTGTAAGTGCTGTTCTTTGTTGGAGACCTATGTCACAGATAAGTTCAGTTAAAAGTTACTGACTAGATTGACTAAGTTTCAACCAGTTGCTCATTTGTTAATATTATAGATAATACAACATTGAATAAGACAGTCCCAGCCCTCAAAATGCTGTTGAGTAAACTAGGGAAGACATTTCTGGAAATTTCTCTCAAAAAAATAACTAAGGGAACCAGCAGTTAGCGTAGTGGCTATGTCGCTGGACTCCCACGTAGTCGACCGCGGTTCGCGTCCTGGACCCGGTGGCTTAAAACTCACGCCGGGTGCGTGTGCGTGCATGCCCAAGATCCTGAGAGGAGAATGGAGGAGAAGGGATTGCAGCGTGACCATCCCCTCTGGGGGGTGATTTCTCGCTTTCTGTCTCTAATGTCTCTCTCTGTCTGTCTGGCGAGCGCACGCCCCCTATAGTAAAAATCTCTCAAAAAAAAAAAAAACTAAAAATGCGGGAAGGGGTTTTTCATAAAGATGATTATGGCAGCATTGTTAAAAGTTCAAAATTTGGAATTGTCTAAATATCTACAAATAGGAGAAAGAATTAAGAAAAACAATGTGGGGGCAGCAGGAGATGTGGCACTTAAGGTGCTGGGTCCCACCTGGCTGACTCCAGGGTTAGACTGCAGGACACTGTGGCCTGAAAAACAGCTGCGCACATGTGCATGCATGCCTAAAATCCTTAAAGGAGAATGGAGGAAAAGGGATTGGGGCATGGGTTGGGGGGGGGGCGTTGATTTCTCACTTCCCTTCTCTCTGTCTTTCTCCACGTATACACATGCCCTATGGCAAAAGTCTATAAAAACAAAACAAAAACAAAACAAAAAAACCCATGTATGGGCCTTGTGGTTAAGAGAGTCAGATCCCGCATGGTTGACTGTGCACTTTGAATTCTGGCCCTGGTGGCTTGAAAAACACACCAGCATGCGTGTATACATGCCCCAAATTCTTACAGAATGGAGAAATGGAGAAGGGTTGGTGGCCTGACTGTACCCCATTGTGGGGGTGCTTTCTCTCTCTCCCTCTTTCTTTCTCTGTCCCTCTCTGTCTCTCTGGCAAGCACAAGTGCCCTCTAGCAAAAATAAAAATAAAAAAAGACAAGACAAAAAAAGAAAAATAGTGTGGTGGTTGGTAGAATATTGTTCTGCCATTAAACATTTCTTAGCACACAACTTTTTTTTTTTTTTAATTTTGCCAGAAGATACATATGCTTATCAGAGAGAGAGAGAGAGAGAGCAAGCATGGGAACATGAGAACATGAGAAGGTACCCCCCCCCCGCCATGGAGAATGGCTATAATCTCTTCTAGTTCATTTCTCTCTCCTTGTAGGATTTTGGGCAAGCATGCTCATGCACCCAGTGTATTTTTCTTTCTTTTCTTTCTGCTTTTTTTTTAAAAAAGAATTATTTTGCTTAATTTTATTTATTATTATTATTTAACATGACCCGAGAGAAAAAGAGAAAGTGAAAAAGCAAGCTACTAGGTGTGAGACTCAAACTACTGTCACCCATGTGGGAGTCCAGCTCTGTAACCACCGCCGTCTGCCAGCCCCTCAGTGTGCTTTTTTCAAGGTGCCAGATCTGGGACTCAAACTGTACAGCTAGCCACGCACAGTTGGCCATGTACGGTCCAGCCACCTTGACACCACTGGCTGGCTGCCTTGAGGAATTATTATATTATGAAATATTGGTAAGCACTAGTGTGCATGTGTGATAATAATGGTCAAAAATGTGTAGGAAAATCACTTGAAGGACATAGACCAAAATATTAAGAATCGCTGTATTTGGGTGGCAAGATAACACATTTCCTTTTTCTATTTTTTTTTTTTTGAGAGAGATTTTTTGCTATCAAGTACATATGCTTGCCAGAAAGACAGAGACAGACAGACAGACAGAAATGAAGAAGTCATCTCCCAGGGGAGATGGCCATGCTGCAATCCCTTTTCCTCCATTCTCCTCTCCGGATCTTGGGCACGCATGCACATGTGCCTGGGGTGAGTTTTAAGCTGTTGGGTCCAGGACCAGAATTGCAGTTAGCTACGTGGGAGTCCAGCCACATAATCATTCCGCCATCTGTTGGTCCCTATTTTTACTTATTTCCTAAATTGACTATAATAAGTGTACATTATTTCAAATTTTTAGAATGTTTTGTTCTTTACTCCCATTATTAGTTATATTCTCCCTATGCATACAAATTAGTTCTTATCCACTAGTTAGCAGTTAACTATTCATCACAAAGAAACAAAAGACATTGAGATTTTATTTGCAAGTCAAACTGTTGTCATTATCTTCATTCAGGA